TGCTTTTATACGATACAAATCAGCAATTGCCTAAAAGTAAGCAGCAATTTTTACCACCACACGAACGATAATTAACAAAATTATATAATTAGTAAGCATATGCACGTGCGTGTGTTAAACTTTCTACAAATAAGGAAAACAAATAAAACTCTGGGCAAGCAATAAAATAAGAGCTCGTTATCAACAATGGCAAAAATATTCAATCACAATCAATGTCTTATTCATGCTGAATTTGTGGGCGTCCTACCTTGTCTTATATAATGATATGTTAAATAATGGGGATACCAGATCTGAAGAGGTTCTATATTTTTCCATAGAGGATAAATAACATTATAATTTCCATTGTTGGATACGGAGATGAGCACAATAAATTTGCGGAAACTTTGTGAAATTTTCTAAAAAATGGCAATAAAAACTTCATACGTATACAGTGTGTCTGAAGATTCCTTCATATTGAGTGGCAATTTGTTTATGATTTTTTTTTTCTCGGCAAAATTTAATTTTCAGTGAATTTTGAATTACGCCAAAACAGTTGTTCATCTAGTTGCTGGCAACACTTCATATTTATATCTAGTAAAATACATTTTATTGAGTGAATGAAGTAGGTAATAGTTTTCTAGTTTTCTTGTATTTTCATATTTTGAATAAAGCTCTGATAGCTGAAAATTTGTCAGCCTTCATTGTGTGCATCGAATTGAACAAGTATACAGATATCTAAATTCCGTACAAATTCTTTTTCACATTCACACCACAACAATAAAATGTTTCAAACATAATTGAGTAACAAAAACAAGTCCAACAAAAGCAGATGAATTCTATAATATTCGTATCATTTTTTATATGAAAATTTTGGAGAGATGTTATGAAAATATTTATTGATCTGATTGATATTAACGAGTATTATTTGAAAGATATTTGATTCAATGTTCAGCATTCTCAAAAACCATGTTTTGCAGTAACCAATTTTATATTTAATTCCTGGATGAAAAAGAAGTTCATTCATCTAACTGATGAATTCAATAATGCTTTCACAGTCAAGGTCTAACACTCAGGTGTGCGAAACGTTAATAAGCAATAATAGATGATGATCAATAATTATGAAAGCAAATGAAATTTTCCAGATTTCCTTGTTCAGTGCTGAATTTTTGCAAAAACTCTGAGTGTCTTACCGTGACAACATTATTTGTATCCGGTAACTATTAATCATGGATTTTTATTGACTCCATCTCAAAATTGAAGTTGTTGGAGAAAGCACTTTTCAGATGTTCACACAGATGGTTGGAAAGTGTACGTATTCTTCTGGAAATCATATCACATACGTGTTTGAAAAAATATAAAGGGCCTCTCCAAAAATATCAAAAATTTGTTTCAATCAACAGGTGTACACATAGGTAGAAATGGGTCAGCCTTCGGATTTGTACCTACCCTCTTGGCGATTATATAACCACTACCTCTACGTATAAGAATTCGCAACTCTTAGAGAAAAAAAATATATTATCCATGTACACGATTCTACCCTCTTTATGAAGGAGTTTCAGAACACCCCGTATAGTAATATGTTGAACATGTCTAAAACGCCATATTTTTTTCGACAGTAGATGTGAATTGAATCACAAATTAAGGGCGCAGTAGGTATTTGGGAAATACTGAATCTGGGGCACTAAATTTCTGCCATCTTTCACTTATTTTTATTGAATCGTTCACCTACAGTAATTGTTACCATTTTCAATAATATTTCATTTAATTGACAACATACTATTTATAAGGATCGTCCCTAATATTTTGACGACGTTATTTCAGTCCATGGTGATTTATTTTCGCATATAAACGAAAATTTATTTTTAGGTGGAGAGGAACCAAAATATCAGCTGTTTGAACAGTTGCTTTCGCATCGGTGGATAATCAATTCATGTATAACAGTTTCAGATCGATTTTATTGAGCATCTGCTTGAAATATTTATCCTGAATCAAAAAGGGTAAATGACATCAAAAGATTTTTCATGTGACAAAGCTTTTGGCTCCACCGAAGTCTTTCAGCAACACCACAAATCTCATGAAAAACACACTTGATCCCGAATTTACAATTTTGTTTGTATTTTGAATTGTCTCAATCATATAATCATATCACACTTTACCGGTACATTTAGATATTCTATGTGATAAAACTTTGAATCGATTCAACATTTAGCATATATGAATACTTTTATATCAATCTATAATATACCTGCATTTATTTATTGATAACAAATTTTCAAAAACTTAAAAAAAAACTAATTTAAGCAATTCACTTTGAGAGATCTAGGATTGTCCTAGGTTTGTTGGGTTATTTCGAAGAAAATAAAATATGTATATTGACGGAAACAAAAAGAAAATATTTGATTCTTCAGTCCATTGGAAAAACGTTCTTTTTCATTGCGAAGGAGCATTACAAGGCTCAAACGGTTCAGACAATAAAACATTATTACCTAAAAAGATTGGATAAGCCAAGTACTGGAGTTAAACCGAAGTGAGACTGAAAGCACTGTCGTTCTTCAACAATATCAGCATTTTCAAATGAATAACTTATTGGAGTATAACGAAAATTGAAAAAGATATTGGAAAGTCTTACTCAAGAAACAATGTTGGAAATATTATTAGTTTTTTGCCGTTGTCTGCAAGTTTTCGACCCTGCTTATCGTCTATAATTGCAGATAGGATGGGAAGATCACGCCCAGTTTGCAAGTCTAGAAAATTATCATCTCGATATGTACACTATACCATCAAATCTGAGCTCAGCAATTCCACCAGGAAGTTTTAATATATACAAAATGTCTACACTTCCATGCGGTTATCATTTTGTCTTTTGAAGCTGACGCTTCCATATCAGCACATCAAACGATTGATTAAATGCTGCTTTAAAAATTACCTGAAGAATTTTTGGTACCTTTATAATAGACAAATAATATATCAACACCTCAAGCTGTTGAAACCTTCCAAAACCATATCAACTTCGAAATGAAAAAACTTATTCCAAAATTGACTTGCCTGCATGCAAAATTGTAATCATATTGAAAAAGACTTTTTAGGAGAAAACAATAAAACGATTTGTTTAAATTTTTTAACTTTTTGAAAAAACTTATGCCGTATGTCAGCGTTTTTTAAAAGGAAATGTATATTGCGTGATGGTAAACAACTGGTAACGAAGTGGAAATATTAGTAGATGAAGAAACAAATTTTGCTAATCACAGTCAATCTGGAATATGTTTCTCATGAACTGGAACGAATTTGTATTTTTTGCCTGGATTAGATGATTTAGGAAACACTTGCTATATAAATAGCATTTTGCAAGTACGAGAATGTTTCCTACTCATTCATCAAACTCAAACACGTGTTCATACTCCTGCCGAGTATCTAGTGGACTTCAAAGACTCCTCCTGGAGTCTTTGAAGTCCACTAGATACTCGTTAGGACAACAAGAGGATTGTGCCGAATTCTTGGGGTTCTTGTTGATTACTCTTCGTGAGAAAAACAATAGCAGAATCAATACTCCTGACCGCTCTGGATTGAATGGTTCCGTACAGTCTATCTCGTCTTGTGTTACCAGTCAATCTAATAATAACACTGATGATCTTCAAACATGACTCAACAGAAGCCCCAAACTCTTACGGAAGGTTCGAAATAGATGAACACTTCAATCTAGCAGACCACTATTGGTCATTGTTGACCAATAGTGGTTGAAACTGGTCATTATTACGCCGTGGTCAAAGACGAAACGGACTGGTTTAGGCTTGACGATAGTTGTGTCACCAAGTGTTCTGGCGATGTAGTGAATTTATTATTTTATGAGACAGTGGACATTGACAGATCAAGATCTTCAGATGATGTGGTGCTGCAGGTTTTTTCCGGGTTTTCCTGCAGCTGCAAAAGCAAATGCGCCACTGGAATCAATGAAGTCGCCCCGGAGCGCCAATTAATTTTTATTGTTGTTTTATAATTTCATGATTTGTATTTTGGAAGTGTTAAGGAAATATTACACAATTGGATATCAGTTTCCTGATCGTGGAATTGATAAAATATTCCTACTCATTCACCAAACTCAAACACGTATTCATACAGCTGCCCTCCAACTGATTTCCTGGAGTCTTTGAAGTCCACTAGATACTCGTTAGGACAACAAGAGGATTGTGCCGAATTCTTGGGGTTCTTGTTGAATACTCTTCGTGAGCAAAACAATAGCAGAATCAATACCCCTGACCGCTCTGGATTGAATGATTCCGTACAGTCTATCTCGTCTTGTGTTACCAGTCAATCTAATAATAACACTGATAATCTTCAAACATGACTCAACCTCTAACAGAAGCCCCAAACTCTTACGAAAGGTTCGAAATAGATGAACACTTCAATCTAGCAGACCACTATTGGTCATTGTTGACCAATAGTGGTTGAAAGTGGTCATTATTACGCCGTGGTCAAAAACGAAACGGACTGGTTTAAGCTTGACCATAGTTGTGTCACTAAGTGTTCTGGCGATGTAGTGAATTCATTATTTTATGAGACAGTGGACATTGACAGATCAAGATCTTCAGATGATGTGGTGCTGCAGGTTTTTTCCGGGTTTTTCTGCAGCTGGAAAAGCAAATGCGCCACTAGAATCAATGAAGTAGCCCCGGAGCGCCAATTAATTTTTGTTGTTGTTTTATAATTTCATGATTTGTATTTTGGAAGTGTTAAGGAAATATTACACAATTGGATATCAGTTTCCTGATCGTGGAATTGATAAAATTGAAATGCTCACAATCTTTTTCAATACCTACACAATTTAATTCATGTTTTTGGATTTTAATAAACTCGTGAGAGTTGCTGCTCAAACATATTGTAATTTCGTGGTAACCAAAAGCCGGTCCTAAATCTCCAGTTTATAAATCTCACCATGGACTGTGAAACCTGTTCCACATCCAGATATTCATGTCTGGATACCTTATCATTAACATAAAATAGGAACTTCTGAGTTAGATTTGAAATTTTGGTAATATTGTATATTGAATACTTCGGAACAAGTACTACTTTGTTTAGAGAGATCTCGATAGACATCCTAAAAATATGTTAGATGAAACCTTTGATCGCTTGCTTTGTGACTTTTTGGTAGTTCTTCCACGCATCACCATCAAACCGACCTACCTCTTTCATCCTCTTCTCCAACTCTTCTTCGTCGTAGTCCTTACTTCCTCCTGCCGTAGCCATTTCTCTTCGATCCTCGGTAACAACTTTGATGACTTCCTCCTTAGCTGCAGCCTCTGCATTCTTTTTATCCCGCACCGTTTCAGAGGTCAACACGAAAGAAGACACTCCCAGGGTGTGGGACTGCTGGACCTTGATATGAGTGGTCTCCGTAACCTCGTGGACGATTTTGCCTGGTGGAACCTCAGGGGAAGGTTTCAGAACTTCTTTCGCAAGCGGCAGCTCCGGTAAGCCGACGGCCAGCACCATTTTCTCCTTGGAGATGTCCTTGTGCATGTCATCTTTGCCGAACTCCCACCAGGGGGAGTAGCGGTGCTCGCACTCCGAGGCCGTGTTGTATGAGGAGGAGCGGGAGTGCTGCAGGGTGCATTCGGAAGCTGTCAAAAATTCATCGTCAGATTTCAGGTCGTCTTGTTTTGACAGTTTCTGAAACAAATATGTGGTTGGTGAATGTGTTACCCAACTAGCAATTTTATATTTTATAATAGTTGCGAACACGTTTAGAAGAAACAAATGAAACTGTATTCCTCTCAGAAATGTTTTCAATCTGTTTATAAAACAGCTATAAGTAGGGAATCAGCAATGTTTTATAAAACATTATAGTCTTTATTGATATTTTATAAGGTCTTTTAGAAACACTACAAAACAGTTTCATTACCATTTCGGCAGTTACTATACTACTTAAAAAGTAGTTTTGTAAAGATACTTATGAAATAATCAAAGGAAAATTTTATAAGAGTTTTCCAGTAGTTCCAAGTAAGTGTTGTAGAATATAATGCAACCTAAAACGATGACGATAAAATGAAAAAGTGTTCAAAATGTTTTCTTAAAGGCGCAATAAATAATTTTGTATTGGACACTAGAAAAATATAATAGATATGTCACCAACTAAAAACTATCAAATAGAAAGGTTGGAGCCATTTCAATAATTTCACTTTTATCCTTATTAATTTGTTAAAGACAGTGTTTGTGCTTTAAATATTGATATTTTAACAGCGAAAAAAATGTATTGACATAATTTAGCCTATTATTAGCAAAATTCAGACTGGTCACACTTCTAGTAATGTTTTTAAAAAAAAGTCGATCGTACAAAAATTCACTCTGTCGACGTATTAATTTTCTAGTCGCAAACTAAACTCAGCTTTTGGAGGAGAGAGTTTTTGGCTTTCTACTACTCTATCTTGATACAAAACAATGTGGGAATCTTCCAAAGAAGGGAAGAAAGGAATTAATTTCAAAAAAAGTAACTCTCTACATAGATGTGTAGATCATGTTTGTTTTAAATAATATAATCCTGTAATATCTATATACTTTTCAGCTGTAAATATCACTATATGTGCGGTATTTCAAATTTTCAACTCACCAATGTCACTATTCCGAAATGCTATCATTTTTGCGTCATTCTATAAAATAAATTGGTATAATACGGTACAATGCTAGCCCTATAAAACTATTAAGAAACAGTTCTGGGAGTGATGGTTTTGCGGCGGGGTCGGACTACTTTTAAAGCTATAGATTCCTACAAAAGTGCTCGTATAAAGATAAGATTTCTCACGTATAGTTTGTATAAATATTATTTATCGAGATGTTTTGACTAAAAAACTTCTTTCATCGTTACGAAAGCTAAATGTTGAAGGAGTTTTGAGCTAGTGTTTTGGTGGAACAACATCTAGAATTCTTAAAGATATAATAACTTCACATAAAAATGATATAAAGCTTAATAAGAAATCATGTGCATTAGCGCAACATTTTATAGAAACAGGACATAAACCAAATTACTTTAATATCAAAGTTTTACATATAGAAAAAAATATTTCCAAACGCCTTTTTCTTGAAATGGTTGACATTAATAAGTCTTNACAGGACATAAACCAAATTACTCTGATATCAAAGTTTTACATATAGAAAAAAATATTTCCAAACGCCTTTTTCTTGAAATGGTTGACATTAATAAGTCTTCTAATTGTATGAATAAAAGAACTGACATTGATAATCTCAGCAATATATACAGTAACTTACTGGAACTACACCAAAAATTATAATGATAATAATGAAAATTGTATCAATCAACTTTCCCTTTAGAGTCAAAGATTATAAAATTATCATGCCCATTGAAAAATGACATTTATGTGAAGGTATGACATTTGTTAACCCAAAAAAATCCATTATTGTTTAACTTTTTTTCGTCCATTTATATGTTCAATTCATTGTTTTTCACTCATTTTTACTGTAAGTATGATTTGTAATTTTATTCATTGTCAAAAAAACTCACAATTCAATGAATTATAGGCCCTTTGATTTTTTGACTGAGAGACCACGTTATTTCCATTTTACTTTTCCATATATACCTGATTTTTTTCATTCTATCCCGTTTGGGTTTTGCCTAAATTATTATCACTTGTGAAATCTGTTGAAATTTTGTATTTTCAACACCGTAGATTGCAGAAGAGAGTGGTGTGATGACTGCTACCTAGGTTTTTGATCTACATCGGTGTTATCTTGTTTTTCAATGAAACCATACTTTTTTTTCACTTATTTTATTAACCCTACTACTACTACTGACAACGAGAGTGGGGTATCTTCTTTACCGTAGGGGAAATACTACGGGTACGAAATTAACCCTCAGACGATAAATATGGCAATACAACTTTACTGAAGATAATGGAAAGCAGAGAAATAGATGCCTCAATGTCTAATCGGCACCTGATGAATGGAAGATGAACTACTCGTTAATAGGTTGGATAGACAGAAAGTGCAAAGTACCTAGTTTAAAAAATTGAAATATGTTTTTCCGATAACTCGCTGTCGCACCTCTACGAACGACAACCCTCAAAAGTCGAAACTTGTGGGAGCTAAGGATNATGCTTCTCAGATATACGAGTCAAGGTATTGGGTTATTTTCATCTCGATAACGATCGTAAATTGAGAGACTTGCTGTGAGCTTAGTCATAAATATAGCTATGCGTCAAATGGTTTTGGATCACAGGAATTTGAAATAACAAAACAGAAATAATTTTGTTTAGAATTATTCAAAGTATATATAATCAACTGTCTCTCTGAATTCAAATGCTTTACATGCAGTGACAAAGAAAACATTATTGATGTAATTAGTAATTTGAACGTTCCTAAGCGAAAGTATCTCAGTGTAAATATGGTAGAATCGAAGATGTTGCCGATGTCGATGTTATGGGGATAATAATGATGATAATATTAATAACGAAAAGGTTCATCAACAGGTCAATTAGAAAAAACACACAACATAGTGGCAAATTGGTGTTGTGGAGTTCTGTCGAGCATGTTATAAAATGTATACAGGGCTTTACAACGAAAATTTGACCCCCCGGTAAGTCAGAAATAGAAGTGTAATCGAAAATTTCAAAGAGCACGTCAATTTTTATTTCTAGGAGGACTGATTCCCATATGGAAATCATACCCGAAACTTCACCCCCCTGCGGTCAGTAATTACCACCCCTATTTCATCAATGGCATGGGGGGTTTAGTGATACATCATTTGAAAGGTCTTTTATCCCTCTATTACTTCTGTAATTTTTTTCGAAATTAGTTCATTCGTTATTGAGAAATTAAATGTTGAACGTTTTATTCAAGAAAAAACCGAAAATTCGCTGTCGCTCATTTTATTGGGAAAATCATCAAAAGTAATATCAATAGCAACACAATCAACAATAATACAGTCCACTTTCGAAAGCGTTCCTTACATTATTGAAGATGTCCGGAGTCAGAAATCGGCATTCTCGAACAATTCTCTGTCGCAGGCATTCTAGGTTTAAAGAATTTATTCAATTAATAGTAGGCGTTTTGAAATAGACGACAATGTTAGTTTTTTCTGCATTGGTTGTTCTTGTTGAACCTAGCTGTCGCAGAACAAAAAGTAGATAGTTGACCACTGTCACTTCTTCACGGATTATTATTCTGTCATCTTTGTTCACTGTGTTCCATCATGGTTTATTCTTCTCAAGAAAGAACAGAAATTGTTGCAACGTATTATCGAAATAGTGAATGTACTGAAGCTGCTGCAAGAATTTATAATACGAATCATCCAGACCACAACGTGAACCATCAATACGTTAATAGGTCAGTCATTTTAGGAGGTTTGCCTAGGAAAGTGGACATACTCAGCTGTAAATTTGTATAAACTTTGTATTTTGGCATCATAAAAGTATTCTCGAAATTCATATATGATTCGGCGGCCGCAACTTCAAAAATTGGGGGAAGAATTTCAGAGTTTAGAAATTTTAAACAAAGATTTACTGAATTATTTTCTACTTTAAATGCAATAACCGTAAAAGAGAATAATACAATTAAATGTATGTACAGTTGATTTCAAATAACATTTAATCTGCGCTCGCGCTGCCGTCTATCTCAAAAACGATTCAACATATGAAAAATTGTTTGACACGAAAGTTGTAGAGAATTTGATTCTCTACAATATCAATAATGAATACAATTAGCATAAAACCCATTGGAAACGAGATATTGGCAAAAAACTTGCGAAAAGTCAGTTTTTTTTATTTTTGACCCCCAATTTTTGAAGTTGCGGCCGTCGTATCATATGTGAATTTTGAAAATACTTTTATGATGCCAAAATACAAAGTTTATACAAATTAACAGCTGGGTATGTCAACTTTCCGAAATACGGGCCTAAATCGACCTAAAATTTCTGTATAATAAACAGAAGACCTGCGATAGAGAATTGTTCGGGAATGACGGTTTCTGACTCCGGGCAACTTCAATAATGTAAGCGTTCCGCTTTCGAAAGTAGACTGTATTATTGTATGGAATTAGATGGAAGTCATTTTGGACACTTTATCCTTCGATTGTATCGCCTTCGATTACTTTTGTTGATTTTCTCAATAAAATGAGTGACAGCGAATTTTCTGTTTTTTCCTAAATTCAGGAAAAACTAGGAAATTGGATCTCGAGTCAGTACTTCATGAAATGAATGAATTGAATAAACTATCAATGTTCAATCAAAATGCTATGTTTCATCTTCTCGTAGGACTAATATGATCCTGAAGATATTCAAATCGGTCAAAACTTGATTTTTTTCAATTGAACACCTTATATTTCAGGACAGTAATAAAAATCTGGAAATGAGTTCGGTTCAATTCCACGTAATATTCCCTATATCAAACAGATTATTGGAAATATTGGCGAACAAATCTTCATTTCGAACAGTTTAAGAAAGATTGCTGAAGCGAATATAATGCTGTTAAAATTGGCACAGAAAACATATAAACCACATTCCCGCAATAGTGAAACGGCGAACCACTCTACCAAAGCTCTTTTACATGAAAAAATTAATACTTTCTTGAAAATATTGGCCACGTGTAGGGTGTGGATTCTAATCAGCCCATTTTTGTTGAAATTATCCAATATTATTTCTGAGGATAATGTGAGTTCTTCTG